TGAACGCTCATCAGTCAACCTTCCAGAGCACTTGTGTAATTGCAAGTCGATAGACGCACCTCGGTCGGAGCTCAGGCTCCCGACCAGTGCTCGTCAACCACGGGATTAGAAGACATGCGCTCTACCCACCAAGCTATCGAAGCATATACTTGATATGCCCGTCGATCTACGTGACTCCTGCGTAAGCTTTTGATTTCACGTGCGCGGGATGGGCGAGCGCGCTATCACTCACCATATGAAAGATAGCTTGGGCAACCGTATTACGATACAGTTGTCGGAGCGCGGCAATCATCCTGTTTAGTTTTCAATCGTGTTGTGTTGCTGAACTCGCTCGGCATATCAACGTCCTTCTAGGTTGGTTCGAGGCAAATACTATCAACGCTGCACTTTTCGTACGACAACCATAAGCAGAATCAAGTTCAGTGGACAGTAGAATTTAGAGTGCCTCAAACGAGAATCAACTCGAGTACTCTGCCTCATTGACAGCAATAATGATTGAGAGCAGCAGCGTGCTCTTCATTTTCCAGTAGAGTTCTATTCATTATCTATGCAATCCTTGAATAACCGGAGAGTTGGGACAATAACCTAGTCCAGCTCCAGATGCTTGTGCTATACCCTGAACAGCACAAGAACGCTCGAATCCGTATACGGTCTTGATTCAAAAGAAATTCACTTGAGTTGCGCGAGTGACCTCAGTGGCATAAGCTCTGGTACATGTTCCGTGGCTCAAAGAGCGAGAAACGAGTCACAATAAAAATGTCATGAGCACGACTACTCAAGAGGTCGACACTCATGATTGTTGCGTATGTATACATCACAATTTCACCCAGATCTGTGTACGAAGCATCTCTCTCGTTTCTTCGGGACAAACGGCACTCAAGAGAACATTGTCAAGGACCAGAAAGTCCCTTATTATTCTCATATATCCACACTTACCCTAGCGCTTATGCACATTGTGAATCTCCCAGGGTCACCGTAGTGCTCGACGTACGAGGTTTGACGAATACTGTCACCGAAGAGGAAATGAGCAGAACCCCAAGTTGCTTAGGTATTTCTACCTGTTACCACCTTCAAGAACTTTATGATCATCTTCAATTAGCTTGAGACGATTGATCGGCTCTGAGAGTGACTTTCCTGTGATTTGGGGCATATTGTCAGATTTTATGAAAGTCTAAAGTAAAGGGTGCCCACTGTATTTTCGTGGCGCGTAAGAATTGAACGAAGATTAGGACACCATTGAAGCATCAAATGCGAAAGACACTCCGTCATTTGGATAATGCGTAATGGAGTGTCACAGTTTTTTCCCAAGTTGAGGCTTTGTCGATGAGTCATCGACGATGATTATCTACAAGGTATTCATTCGTGCTGTTCCTATAACAAAAACTACCTCAAAGTTCTGATCGGAGTATCACACATAGCTACACTCTCTCACGGTCCAAACCTCGATAGATGCGACGAACCTCGTTCCCACCTCGTTTTTGTTCACATTCCTTCAAAGCACACGTCGCGATGATGCTGGGCGGAAGCGGAGTCGGTGCATATTTTGCTGGTGGTCCGATCCTGAAGTTGGCCAGAATTCGACAACATCCCTTAGAACTCTTACGTTCCAGAATGGATTGCTCTCGCAGGAGGGTCGGGAGCTGGCCTGCGATACCCGAATTTATCTCGAACACCTGGATAGTAACCAGCGTATCCCGGTGGATAAGGAGCCTGCACCTGCGTATCGAAGATATGATCTGAAGGGTTAAGTCTTGGCGAACTCAGTGGTACTAGGATCTCCCGTTGTAATGTTCGATCCAAAGCGTTCAGTGATGAAGTTTACCTGTTCTCCAGGATCAAAAGCGGAGCTGTAAGTCGTAGTTAATGCCTCTTCATGCGCTTGCTCGAGCGATGCGGGAATTCTCTGACTAAACGCAGGCGTCCATCCCTCAGTCTTCATCTCGATCGACATCTCAAAATGAGTCGAAATAAAATGCGACTACTGAGTCCATGTGCAGCCCAGTTATTCTTTGAAATCCATTTGCATATTTTTTTCTCTGGGAAGAGCAAGAGACGCCTAGTTCTCCTGATTAGGGCTCAGTTAACTCTTGGCTGAGCCCTTTGAGGATTTGCTCGAATGGGAGGGCTGGTGAGGGGTCTTGTCTCGGCATCAGCTCGCCACGCCGGCTCAGCAGATGATACCTAACGGTTTGAGCATAATACCACGAAACTGCTCAGGATACGCCGTAAATATTCAGGCGGGCGAATTTATTGTTGCTCGGCTTATATGGCGAGCGCTTCACAGCACCATATCTCGATTTTGACTTAGCGTGTCGTCAGCGTTGAAACTTTCAACTTGGAAAGAATCCGTGTTGTGGTGTGAGCTCTCAAGCTGGCACCAAAGCTTCGTCGGGTAGAAACTTTGATGAATGACATGGCACAATGAATCCCGTTCGATGAGCGTGCGAATATGTAACATCCAACGGGAGCCGTTGGATTCAAAGTCCAGAGTGTCAATAAGTGATTATTCAGACTGACGGCCTCTGATCACCACACTGCATGACCGTGTGAAATGCTCCGCGTTTTATGATTCTCCCTTGCCCTTCGACTGAGCTTCAGCCAAGGAGCTTTTTCGAATCGTGCGTGGAATTTTAAATAAGACACGTGCCCAGATAGATCCTGTCGGGGTTCGAACTCGAGCCACTACAGTACTAGCCTAGAGTGCTAGCCATCAGGCTACAGACCATGAGGAAATATTTCACCTCGAGATTCGTGTCTGCGCTGCTTAATCTCACTCTACTTCTATTATTACATCTTGGCTTTGAGTGATACACTGAAGTTGGATCTCATCGGACCCGCAGTAATAAGCTGATTGAATACGGCTTCTATTTCGACTGTGAACTCGGATAGGGGTGCCGGTACAGTTCAATGTCATAGGCGCGGGTTCGAGTCGGGGACCTGCAGATCTACAGTCAGCCGCTCTACCGCTGAGCTACGCACCCGAAAGCAAACGTTTGTCACGCTCTCGTCTCATCCATATGATCCACTCATGTGACTCTGCTTGGTTCATCTTAATCAGACATTATCATACACCGCAAATTACAGGAGATTTTGCCCAACACCGCTTCAAGCATACCATCCGACTTGATTCTCAGAGCCGAGCACGACAGGCTTATGCGTCCAAATTCAATTCGACTGCCAATTGCCAGGCTATAAGCAGTTCTATAGCATTACGCCACCTTCTCCTACATAGTTATACTTTCTACAGCGTAGACAAGTCTCCGGAGAAACACTATGTAAAATTCGTTCTCACAGGCACCCACAACCTAGAATTGGTGTCAAAAGCGTATGTATAGAGCAGAGTTTTGATTTGATTCTTAGCATATATGAAAGTGACTGCGTTAAAGGCTCCAGAAAGCCGTAAACGCAAAGCCATAGTGGCATCACCCACGATGCGCTCTATGCACAGTGTCTCCAAGTTGCAGCAGAATGTTTTATTCATCAATCACAGATGACAATCACTAATCACAGACGGCGAGATAGTTGATATATCCGAGTTATCCAATGATTGCTCGGTACTTACATGAGTACCTTGCATCCCATAACACTCACCCACATGATAATTCCAGATCCATTGTTGCGAAGCGTTCGGAAAACCGATCACTCTAACAGCAACGGAATGGAGCACAGCACTTCGAAGCAAATAATTGATCTGACGAACCGCCATGGAAGCCCAGGATTGATAGAACTTATATAAACGCAAAAATTGTAGGTTAAAACAATATCCATGATAAGAGCTCGTCTCGAATATCTTTGACGGAGGCGGATCAAAGCCTCGGTCTGTGCGAGTAGTAATGGTACAACATGACCTGAACCGAACTGCGAGCAATGCGAGACAACTCAGATCAATTACCACTAATGTCCCAAAATGTCCTGGTTGTCGGGTTTGTTGGTGTAGTAGAGAGTATGGGTAGCACGGTAGTTGTTGAGATAAACTCCAGATACCTTCGTGAAACATGAATAACTCCCGCGGGAAGAGCCAGAATTACGATCATGAGGCCGAAGGCGACTTGGAAAGAGAATCCGCCAAATACACTGTTCCAGCCGGTCCAGTCGATCCAATCCTTGACTTGTCTCAGGACGGGGGGACGATTCATACCATAGACATATCTTCCATACCTACAGATGAGTCCGAGATAGCTCGGACATCTCAAGGAAATCACCTTCTTGGGCCAACATATTTGACGGGATGAGGGATGTGACCACCCTTGAGAGGGAGAAGAACTCGGACGGTCGACAGGTCTTCAATGCCACACTCGCGGAGGGTATCTGGAATGACGATGGAGACACTCATGACAAGGTCTATCTCACCATCATCGTCCATAATCTTGCCGTTGAATGCGATCTTCATATTGCCTCTATCAAGACCTGGCAGAATCGGAGTCCTGCTTCACGAAGCAACTTGTCTTTACCTGTTTTATCGGCCAACTCTATAATGAGCTCGGCGATGAGCTGTTCGCCTTCCGCGTCCATCAGAATTGGACGCCCACCGGCCACGGAAGTGATAACTTGCATTGGGCAAACAGTAGCACTAATAGAGATAAGAGAACGCATGAACCTTTACAAAGTTGAGTTTCGAACGATTGCGTGAAAAATTCACAAACGTTTATGTAAAATCGTCCGTCTATAACGTGGGGAATTTTTTCCTGATACTTCGATATGCCTGTTACACAGATCCTAGGGGTTTGTTGCATACTGAGGTTCCTTCTCGGATTTCCTTTCGTTGCCGCAGCCTTCTGTTATCAAGTATGAAATGTATCTCGCATGGTCTTCCGAAGGGCTCGTGGATTATCTCGATCCGTTGATGAGCTGAGCTGATGTTTATACGGGGCCAAAGCTTAAGCGGGCCGTGCTGCTGTTAAACTCTCCTTGGCAGTTTGTGTGAGAATTCTTCGGTATGGCTACTGCCCTCGGCTCCAGTTCAATCCCCGGTATCTTGGCCAGTGGAGCTTCGGAAAATAGAGGCGAAAACGCGAGGTATCCAACCCGACGAAACAGAGATGAGTGATAGTTAGCATGTGATTATATTTCAGACTCGAGAGCTATGTCGGAGCAATCGCCATTGGTGATCTGGTCAAGACCACTCTGGGCCCTAGGGGTAACTCCTATTCGCTTGGAATGTGCTTGAATGTCCTTCTCAGGTATGGACAAGATTTTGGAGAGCATGGATAAGCAAGGCCCTCGTGGGAAGAACGTCACTGTTACCAACGACGGAGCCACAATTCTACAGTCCATCTGGGTCGACAATCCCGCAGCCAAGATTCTGGTCGACATGAGCCGAACTCAGGTGTGGTGTTACCTTCTGGTTCGATCCATCGAAGTTGTTTTTTTCCAGGACCAACAGTGTGGCGATGGCACGACCTCAGTGGTCGTATTGGCGGCCGAGATGCTTCGTCGGGCTGAGGACTTAGTGACCATTCAGAAGCTCCATCCCATGGTTATCATCAAGGTAAGACTCGGCATTTCGAGAAGCCCTGTGATTTTTCTTATAGGGATTTCGCGCTGCTCTTGCTTGTGCGAGGAAGACATTGGACGGTTGCGCCTTCGATAACGGCAAGGATGAAGCCAAATTCCGTAAGAATGCATCTATCGATGTTTCGGATTCAATCGCTCCCCGTTCAGGCGAGGATCTGCTCGCTATCGCTCGAACGACACTCTCGTCAAAGCTCCTTCACTACGAGAAGGACAAGTTCGCTGAGCTGGCCGTTGACGCAGTTCTTCGCCTGAAGGGTCGGAAGAACTTGGATTACATCCAGGTAGGCTTTGCTGGTATCGCATGAGTAGGCCATTATGGTTGCATAGGTGATCAAAAAGCCCGGTGCTTCGCTGCGTGACAGCTACCTTGAGGAGGGCTTCATCCTCGAGAAGCGTATCGGCACAGGTATGCCTAAGAAAATCGAGGATTGCAATGTGAGTATTATCATTTTATTTTTGTTCGACTTCCCGTTTGTAGGTGATGATTGCCAACACTCCAATGGATACTGACAAGATCAAGATCTACGGCGCTCGGGTTAAGGTCGATTCTTTGACCAGCGTTCAGGAAATTGAGGTATTGATGATGTGTTCTTTTCTGGGTCGATTTTGGTAATATTCAGGCCGCCGAGAAGGAGAAGATGAAGGATAAGGTCGACAGAATTTGCGATTCGGGCTGCAACGTTTTTATCAACAGGTAGCTTCCAGGTTGAATCTCACGGCTACTCTGGCTTATACTGTTCTTTATATTGTTCTTCGCTCCGCTAGTTCCCGCTCATTTTCTCAGACAATTGATATACAATTATCCTGAGCAGTGCTTCCGTAAGCGCGGAGTTGTGGCCATTGAGCATTCGGATTTCGATGGCACTGAGAGGCTTGCCGCTGTGCTCGGTAAGAGCAGGTCTTGACGCTACTTCGCAGTTTCACCTTCGTCGCAGATGCCGACATCGCTTCTACTTTCGAGGAACCCAAGAAGATCAAATTAGGCCACTGCAAGGAAATCAAGGAGATCATGTTAGGTAGGATTTGCTGTAGAGTTTGAACGAAGATTAATGCTTTTTGTTCAGGTGAAGACAAGGCTATTCAGTTCACTGGCTGTGCCTCTGGTGAGGCTTGCTGCATCGTCCTTAGAGGAGCTAGCCAGCATGTTCTCGATGTAAGTCCGAATGGCTCGTAGTCGACCCGACAGCGCTCTGGTTGAACCTTCCTGAGCCTCCGCTACAATCTGCGGTAGCGTCTGATTGCAGGCCGGCCGTTGTCTGATCTGTTTCGGAGAGTGATAGTCTAGACTTTTCGATACATGATATGATTCAATTCATACTACACCATTTCGAATTTGCCCTCTTCCTCAGGAGGCTGAGCGTTCTCTTCACGACGCGTTGGCCGTCCTCTACCAGACCATCAGCGAGACTAGAGTCGTCTACGGTGGTGGATGCACAGAGATGGAAATGGGAGTTAACGTCCTGGAGTTGGCCTCCAAGACTGAGGGAAAAGTAGTACTTGATTTCCCTACAATGGATATTCACTTTCTCAGGAAGCGCTCGCTGTCGAAGCTTTCGCTAAGGCCTTGATGGCGATGCCTGGAATTCTAGCTGAGAACGGAGGATTCGATGCTGCCGAGCTGGTCGGCAATCTCCGAGCGATGCATCAGAAGGGACATGCCGACGCTGGGCTTGATCTTTCCAAGGGGTAAGTGCGTTTGCGCAATAGTACATACTCGCATCATAAGTACGTAAATATGTTCCGTGCGGGTTTCGTGGAATTCCTCACGCTGTGGTTGTCGAATCGCGAATCACGGTGAAGCTGTCATCGGTCGCTGCTAGTTTGGATAGCATTCATCGCATGTATCCACAAGCCGGAATTGAAAACTTCGGATCATGTGTTTTTCAGTGTCGTGTCGAGTATGTCGGAACTCCGAATCTGCGAGTCCTACCGTTCTAAACTCTCTCAACTTTGCGCCGCAACGGAGGCCGCCGAGCAGGTTGTACGCGTAGACAACATCATCAGAAACGCTCCTAGACAGCGCAACGCATAAGTAGGGAGGTTGACGAATCCCGTGTTCCCGAATTTTTCGCTTCACAGATACTACGTCACTACTTCTTTGTCAAGCGATTGGGGGATGGAGACTGGCGCCGTTCAATGTGTGACAGAGATCATATACCTGCCTTCTCGTTAGATACCTTTTCGTTGAATAGAGAAACTTTGTGTTGTTACACCCACAGTGCATAAATAGTAGTCACAGCAGGCCTTATGCTCCGAATGATGTTTATATGCAAATATTCATGAAGCGGTGAACTAAATATCATCTTCAGTACTTGAGGACGATAGCCATTGATAGCCAAACGACGCATGCAAAGTGTCGTAGGTGGGGCTATCTTTGTTCTTGTCCATGAACTCCTCGCCTATCAATGGCAAGAAGTGCCAACCAAAGCGATGTTGGTACGACGGAAGCTCTATGGAGGTGAAATCATCTCGAATTAAAATCTTCTTCGGCAGGGAATCATCGCCAAGAGGAACCGAGGTTTGGGTTGTTCATTACGAGTTCAATTACCCAGTGGGTCGATATTAGCTATTCTCGACTAATCTCGCAAACATTCACCGTGCTTAACAGCTTTGGCTGACAGCCCTCAGCAACTGAGGGACCGAGAAATCCTGGTCTTTTTGCCGTGCACATAATTAGCAAACTCCCAAATGCTATATCTCCCGAGCTCCATTGGCGGGCCGTGAGAAAATGATTCGCATGTTACGTGTATTCTGCAACTGTTGACCAATTCCTTGTACGATCTGCACTCTTTTCACAACGCAAACATTATTTCGAAAGGTGTGAAAGAAAAAAGCATTGGCGAGCATGATGACGACGAGGCTAACAATGAATTGACCTCCACAGGCGCCTCTCGAAACGTGTCTACTGAAGCCCACGGAGTTCTTAGTCTTGAGTAGTCAGCGATATATAAGAACGGGACATCTAATGGTGGCAGGCTTGCATTCGAGTGATAACACTCGTCGAATTAGACGGTAACAACACCTGGGTAGTAGTGGTGATAGCAGCGGTGATAGCATTTGTACGAGCAGTGAAAAATGATGATGAGTCTTTACATAGCTGAACTTATCAGATTCGTGCACGATTCTAACTTGGCTTCTATCTGTTGAGGTTTATTCTGGCATACTTCACGCCAACTCATTCCATTAGTTGAGCTCATCATTCAGCAGAATCGTTCTTTTCTCAGCACTGCCTCCCACGGCACTTGAGGAAGAGCTCCCGCCTCCAGATGGAGTCACTGAAGACAAAACGCATGCAATACCCATCTGTGGTTTGCGCAAGAGTAAAATCCAATAAACAATACCGAGAGGAAGATCCGGACATAAGGATATTCTCAGGCAAGCTAGCTGTCGAAAGCGACCCATGAAACGAATCAACCTCGGATGCTGTATTCGCAAGGGGCATTGAGGAAGCCAGATCAGAGCTAAGTATTCGCGAAGAGTCACTTACTTTGAACATCCCCAAGATGATGAGCAGACATGACATTTCCCGCTGGCTTGTGCTCGGGAAACTAAAAACAACTCATGCTGCCAATGGGAGAAAATGATGACTTACGGCTGGCGGGGCGAACGACGAAGCCACCATATGGTTCGAAAAAGGATGTGGAACTTCGGGGACAGGGCCAATGGATTGAGGACCTGCATAATCAACTTGATATCTCTCTTCAAATCCAGTAAGACCGAGATGGAGAAAATTATGTTAACAAACTGTCGTGACCGATGGAAGAGGAATACTTCAACACCTACATTCATATTGGCTATAGCTGTGTAGTCCCAACAGAGAAGCCACGGCCGCTGATGGATTCAGCTGGCTGGCTTTTAGATATAGGTCTAGAGCTTGTTGCTGTTGATGCATGAGTATTTGAGCTTCTTGAGCTGCTACTAGAGCCTGACAATGAGGTAGCAAGAGGAAGGATATCGGGAGGATAGACCTGTAGATAAGCGTGCTGCTGCTGTAGGGTCCCCACGAGCTGTGTGAGAGCATCTACGGACTCCTCTGGAGTACTGGGGCATACCTGAGTACTATTAAGTGAGCAGACTTCATCATGGGGAGTTCCCGTAAAACGAAGATGAAATTGAAACCACCAATGTGACGTACAAAAGACCTACACCCTGCGCTAGTGTAAAGCAGGGGTGAGGACTGAGAGCGAATATTCGAGTCATTTAAGCCACCTTAAAATAGTATAAACGTTGATGGTAGGAGTAGTCGCAACACTAGCTACGTTGGGTCTGCCGTTGTCGCGCACAGGCGTGACAGTCGAGAGGATTCCGCTGGTCTCGAGCGATTCTTCGCTAGTGAAAACTGGAGTCTCCATCGCCCAACTGGTAGGATAGGCAGGGTCCTGAACCAGCAGTCACTCCTCGGAAGACCGAAGATGGAACCCCCCTTGGTTGGGCCACAATTACCTCATCTCTGGTTTTCACTGGAGTCTGCTTTACGACCGGCGTCATGACTTCTCTACGATGACGATCGAACCTACGCATGTGAGGAGCGAAAATACGGTCGCGTTTTCTGCGTTGAAACGAAAGAGAAGCCAATCCCAACGACAAAGCGCCAAATGAAAAGAGTGTAACGACACTCTTCGACTGATTGACTCGACAACATACACAGGCGTAGGGCTAACAGTCGAGGCTTGACTTCTCGTGGTGCTCATCTCGACAGCACGTAGATCCTGAGGGAGGTACTGGAAGGATAGAACAAAGAAGCACCCCACCTCTCTCCCGTGAGCGAATTTACACTCGGCAGCCGACAGAGGGCAGGCGTCGATCCACCATTTGTCACAGATGGTCGTTTTCCTGAGACGCGTGAGTACGGCCACACCGAAATGGTCTCACAACTCATGCCGAAGTTGTCTCATAACTATCTCAAAACGATGCTATGAAACGATTCAACATTGGGACGGCGCAATCACGTGACTTTAGGAGCTCTAACAACGGGCATTGCGTCTGTGATCAGTACACTAACAATCACTTTCAAGAAAATTCCAAAATTTTTGAGATTTCCTGTAAAAGATCGTTCAGAAGAAATGACCTCAAATCAGGGGCGATCTTGAGATCCTCGGCACCATGAGCGTAGACACAGCTGTCGCCGTGAACACAACCGCGACTGAAACGGACAAATATACCCAGACGAGTGGGCACCGCTCCGCTTACTCCGAGTGGTAGTAGATACAAGCTCTCGTCTTATGAAGGAGTCTATGGTCTGTGCCACTTAGGTGGGAGTCGGTATCTGAGATTTGTTCACTCCACGAGAATTTCTCATGACACTCCTAAAATGACCCGAAAATTAAGTTAGTCATCGAGCAATAACGAAAGAATATGCCTGGGAAAGCAGAGGGCTGCCTGTTCGACAATTTCTGTTCTGCAGTCCGAGACTCATTTGATGATAAGCTATACAGGGCATCGTGAGGTAACATACCAATATCCAGTTTACTCATCCACTATACAAAGGTGTTGTCATCCACGCCGAGCTACACGATGCGTGAGAAAGTTAGAGAGTGAACATCTCCACGGATTCTTACCCGGGACATCCTTGGTCGATTCCTCGTACTGAGACGGCTGATGGAATACTACCAAGTAAAACAACGTCGAACCAAACATACAGTGGACGCATACCGTGAGACATGAGAGATCCAAGGGCCTTCGAAGTGGCGGTATCAGCGGCGACGCCCAGAGAGGACTCATCGCTGGAACTGGTAGCAGAAGTAGGAGTTGGCAGAGAGGCGGGCATTATTGCACGTCGGAAATGGACTGATGGGCTGAATCGAATCAACGTAAACAATCTACCCTGCCCATTCGAGTGACTAGCGGCGCAAAACACTTGTTCTCGCAACGATGAGGTTATCATGCAACACGCTTTATCAAAGAAGAGTATCGAGTGCAACCGCACTCCTACACCAGAGATATATGACTGATGATAATAGTAAGGTGTAGCGCTGAATACGGAGCTTTCGGACGGTGATGTCGAGCAGCATACGCAGAAGTAAACCGCCTCCAGACCACGGACAACAATGGTACATCTCCGAGGCCTCAGCGAGGGGTCATCTAAAAATGCACAACCAAGGATTCGAACCCACACCCACGCTGATGGTAACCAGCGACTATGACTACCACGCCAAAAACGTTACTTCTTTTTAATCGATGGTTTGAGGAGCTGGAAAGAGCACATGAGATCGTCTCGAATGGACATCATCGCTCCTGCGTTGTCAAACTCCCCGCAATAATGAGGTGCCGAAAATATCGTTACCTGAAACGATATTTTATATAACATTTCGCCTCATTTAGCATCTCATCAGCAACCCATGTTCCACGAGACGATAGCCACCGAAAACATCAAGCCGAACTAATCCTCAGCGCAAGTTAGAACAATAACTAACTGGATCGATCACAAAAGATTCACAAGTGATACGAAGTGATAGGGCAGCGTACCATTTGGCGCTGGGCGAAGAATTCGTAGCCATCTTCAACGACTTGATGCGCTCGGACAACCAGATCAAAATCGAACCTGGGAAAGCCGATACTCCGCAGACAATCACGATCAGAGTGACAGTCACTTCTCGAGGAAATCTTGCACTACGTCGCCGCCAAAAGTGAAACTCACGCCTCGGTCGTTATCCGCCCAGCCTATGAGCAACCGCTCGTGAACTCGGGTACGGCAGTCGAGCTTACCAGATATACCGGGTTCTGGATCGCTCCACAATAAGTCGCAAACCAAACCTTCCTCGGGGACCTGAGGAACCTCCCCGGAATGGTCGAAGTGCAACAACTACGAAAAAAGTTTTGATTATACTATTTTTATACATTATATCCACTAATTATACTAGATTTATATATTTACATTTAGTTATTAGAATAAATGATATATACCACATTATGATAATATTATCCCTTTGAACCACATGTTGTGGTATTAGCAGGAGCACGTTTCCGATTGGGTCTCGGGCGGACTAATGACGGAATTGATAGGAGAATTTCGCGTGTCGACCGCCAATTCGACTCAAGTAGATATGTGCCAACAAAAACGACTTGGATCGAATTCTGGAAAGACCAAGCGGATAACCTCGATGAAAAAATCAACCACCGAGAACAACCATCATATTTCCGTCAGAGCAGTTGCATTCGAATAAGCCTGTACTCAGACAAGTCACGAATATTCTCTTCCCCCCGGATTTGGAAAATTACGCACCTCCACAGGCCGTTTGACATTGTTGATAGCAGACATACTGGTGATATCTGGGCTCAAACCAGCATGAACACAGAATATTTTCTCATCGATGGTTGCTGAGTAGAAACAAGCTTAAGTGCTTCCTCAAGCCGTTACCGTTCACCTGCTAATGGTAGAAGGTTGAACATCTCGCAGAAGCTTTTCCACAGTTTCACGTTGAATCGTCGCTTCACTTCATCGTAGAACCCGTAAATACGAGAGATAGGCGCACACTCGTGGTTTCCGCGGAGGAGATAGCTGAAATAAAGAGTTCAAAAAGGAATGGTATTAGCAATTACATCTTTTCCGGGTACTTTACTTTCAAAGCGGATAGGAGCAGCATGCACTCCATCCCGTACGGGCCGCGATCCACATAGTCTCCGAGGAAAAGATATCTATATGAACATGCTGCCAGAATATTCGCATTGGCAATTAGGGTTTACTTCGTCTCGGGTGGATAGCCGCCACAGTCCAGTAAACGCAGCAAGTCCGGGTATTGTCCATGAATGTCGCCGACCACCTTGCATGGTGCCTCAACGTTCAGCAAACTCGGTTCTCCTGAGAAACTAGTCACTCACTGAATTGGAGTTAATCGGTCACCTTCCAGAATTTTCTTGAGTCTGCTAATGCAACATTTAATATCAGCCTCTTGCATCGGCACGGGCTGAAAAATGAGATGCGACTTGCTGCTCCGGGAGGAGCCTCACTTTCGTGATCGGCTTCCCTTTCACTGCCAGGAGTGCGTCAATGAGGGTGTCTGGCGTCCACCTGAGCTCAACTAGCGAAGCACGCAGAAACTCTACGTTTACTTGTCTATTTGCTCCGCGGTGGGCTCACTCTTGTTCGTCAAGCGTTTCATCACGGCGAGGTCAACCAACTACGGGAAATAACTATACGCAAATTCCGATGGGCGCTGGAATTTCCACCCTGTCGAAGAGACCGTAGCCTCTTAACGGACACATTCCGTATCTTGCACGCGCAACCTCAATTTGATACCTTTACCAAATCCCACCCCCGAAGGGAAATTCAATACTCCACGAATCCACAAGGCTCATCCTGGCGACAATACTCCTTACGATGAACCCTTTACTGAGAAGTCTGGCCAACCGCAGTTTTGATGCAAAAATTCCTTAACTAGAGACGGGACCAAACAAGCACGCACAAAAACAGAATTGCGCTCCTGGGCGAGCGCGTTGTCGGGAAACAGCCGCGCGCGCCTTTGGGAGTATATGATTGAGAAATTTGCAATTCCGCCATGTTGAAATGGTCTCCTATACGTTACGGCACTAAGCCGAAGGAGTTCAACAAACTATGGCGATCTATCCCAGGAGCACGGGAAGTAGTCGCTGGTGAGAGAGGCGGCAAGACTATGCCGAGACTCAGGTTGAAAAAGAAAGGAGTTATTGATGAAAAGTAGTAAATGCAATACCGCACTGAACTCATTTTCATGCTCTTATTTTTCGACTGAAAAGATGCTCGCATGCAGTAGATCAGAACAACAGTGACCCAATCTAACTTGTTCGGAGGCTATTAAGTGCCGGCTCTCTGTATTTGCTAGTCGGTCGTATAGTCGGTCGAGTTCATAATCTCGGGTAGACAAACCCGCAAAAAATCCTAACATCGCGCTAATGAGTTTGTTTGTTCCGTCAGCTGGTGTTTGTTCGGATACGCAGAGTCACTTAGTTTGTAGCATGACACATGGTCGATCAGGTATGAAAATAACTGGGCGAATCCTTGGCATGCTCGGCGAAAAAGAGACACACCTGATGATATGGTGAAAGGCCTTCTGTACAACCCTGAAGGCTTGGACGCCGGCACGATCGGGCCGCATGTTTTCCGTGCTGTAATAGCAGTCAGGAAAGCCAACTGTACCAAATTAGAATATAGTCTAAGTATAATCGATATCGCTCATGTTCGACAACAACTGTGAAGTAGTACTCGTTTTCCCCATGCAAAAATATTCAAGACCATGGTTCGTCTTCTGTGGTGCCCTCCGTCATAAGGTCATATCTAGGTTCAGTTCGGTCTGGATGAGCCGGATTTGATGGCTCGGTACGCTCAACGTATAACGGAAGTTTGTAGCGGTATGAAACCAATAAGTCTTGGTCTTGTTATGGTTGCATTCGGCAGAGCTGGGTACCAGGGCGGCTATTGCGTACAAATCGCCATTCGAAATTTGGATTGCGACTTGTACGAAAATTAAAAGAGCGTCTATATAAATTTCAAATCGACGCTCTTCTTCTTTCCGAGGCGAATGGGATACCTATTATGGTGATCACTATTCAGTTGAGTGTTGTAGCAGTGGAAATCTTCGTATTATACGGCGAGCCGCTGGAGCTGTGAAGTTTTTCGCTCTAACGTTAATTCTGTGTCAGAATAGCTCACGAGAAGATGCTCGCTAGACTGTCAGAGGTTATTCCAGGACGATTACGGTTCTTTGGTCCTGTTGAGCTGTCGATGCTTTGCAGTGGTCTCATGAGATTGCGATATTATAATGAGAAGCTTTTGCGGAGGTAGTATGTGACACCTATCAACACAGTGACATACAACACTAGCGAATTTCGTGTTCGCGAAAGATGATGATTTGAATCAAAATTCGTGTAGATTAAATTTGATTGTTGGTTCATTTCAGAATCGCTGATGAAGTACCTCACAGGTTGCCCGTGTTGGAGCCTAGCCACATTGGGCAAATAATTTACGCGTTTAGTGTGTTGGGCTTCAGAGACCAAATGCTCTATGTGGATATAGCTGACGATGTAGGAAAGGGGACTGCCTATCGATCAACTTGATGCTATGCCGCTCTTGGTAGGTAATGCGTCGAATTCGGGACTTCACCAACCCGATCGAGCTGCTACAGGTGATCAAAGCGCTAGCGAAAGCAGAAGTGGTAATAGCCTGGGTCAATTGCGTGGAACACAAGAAAACAATAGTGGTCCTAGGAATATAGCAAATGTTTTGTTGACATTGAAAATTAGGCGCGCGCATTCACATCGATGTGAACTACTTTGGTTATGACAGATTTCCCCCAACTCAGATGTTGCCTGGTTTATGGGAGTGCCTGGTAGATGCTGGTACTTCACAGTGGGAAGAGATCATCAGAGGTGATATACCTAGTGTTGCAGTGCAGTACCTCGCGGCAGTGGCATCAATTGATGGTAAGTTCACGCCGTGCGGTATAAGATGACATTTATTCATTTTCGTTGGACCACCATCATAGAGACGTTCTCAGGACACTTGGTGGCACGTGGTTATCCATCCGCCAATACTCAAGACTTCGCGTCAGCTATGTGCACAGTTCTGCTGGAGAAAGGCAACCAGCTCGATTTGAGTCTAGCAGCACGGGCGATAGGAAGTCTCGGAAAGTTACACCGGTACTGTATGTGGACTGTTGGGATAACGCAAATTGGTATGATGAAGGTATAATGAACAAGTCTGGAGTCCCCTCTTAGAAAATGTAATGAGCAATATAGATCATTTACAGCCCGATCAAATATCGCAGGTAATACTGGGGCTTTTTGATTTGCTGAAAATGTCTCCATGGACTGTATTGGCATCGTGTGCGATCGAAAGTGGATCGAGTGCTCTTGTTAGAGTCGCTTTATATCCGCTCAGAAATACGTTTTTTCTGATTGCTTCCTGTTAGTTTACCAGAATAGTCTCGGCCTTTAAGAAAACCTATTGTTGTCTTTCTGTATAATTCGACACCATTTTCAGAATGCTCAGTATTTGCGCGGTGTTCAGGTGTCTCTAGGACTATCAAGTGCGGGGCGAGGGCATCCGATGACGACTCCCTTAATAGCAGCCTTATCGGCCAGGGCTATCAGTATAGTAGACGATTACGATGTGTGGTGTGCAGCGAATACAATGCAGGGGTAGGTCCCAGGATCGATCCCTGGTGGAAGCACTGATTACTTCAGGTTTGCCGGTCTTGGTAAACGTGATGTGAAGTTGTTTGGTGCATTAGCGAAGCACCTCGCTAAGAACGATAAGCTTCTAGAGGATGCAACTCCGCAAGGCCTTGCAAGTGTACTTCATTCAATGGCAAAAGTTATGATCAAGTAGCTGGAGAGGGGTCCTGGAGACGATGAAGTTTTGGATCATCCCCATTATTCCTGTACATGAAAAATTCCACATTTCACAGCGAGTCTCAAGTGTCATGCAAAAAAGCATAATTTCGTGAATTTTGTAGAAGTTATCCCAAGCAGCTCCCTCATTCCCTCCGTTCCGATGTACACAGATCGAACACGGCGATCCGCGTGATAGTTTGGCATGGTTCGTTTTATCCTTGCTCAGAATAGAGAAGCTTTGCGTCACTATTTCAGGTCGGACATATTCTTGTACATTATGGCGAATCTCGTCATTTCTAAGATATCAGCTTTTGAGGGGCAAGCTCTAGGAATGGTAGTAGGTTGCGGGACTATGATTATGGCCGTGACATTGTTGGTACATAAACTTGACCGAGTTGCAGAAGACTCATTGGTGGATGATTTCTTCGTCGTATGGCTCGAAATAATGAGAAGTGTTTTCCGTCCATTACGGCACAGTAGAATGGAATTTGATAGTATGGCAATGATAATGAAGTGCGTGTTCTACGCCGTGCGTCCCTGTTCTCGATCGTTCGAAGACCGTGTTCTGTCTTGTCGCATAGGTCCTGTATGCATACGGTAGACTCAATTGCTACAACGAAGCTCTGGTGAGGGCATGCATAAAGCAGCTCAGAGCGATCATCAACGACCTCAACTTGGTATCGATACATATGATTTCTGACGGACTGAAGGTATAGTGGATGCAACTCTATGTGATATCCTTCCTACAGTCGGGTTTTACTTGCTTGAGGCTTCGCATTATGTGAGCTTCTTCGGGTTACCTTGAATGAGCGCCCTTTTTTCGCCTGACTTTATCCACGTTTCGGCGTGCGAATCCAGCATTACAGTCTCGCAAGTGGCCCATGACTGTTGATCCTGACGAATGCCGTATGTCATGGTTCATCCTCGTGCTTCATATCTATGCTAGTGCCAGACTCTCTCTGTTGATGTTAGGCACTCGGAGCACTGTCGGAAGATATCGAAGCGCTGCTGAAACAGCGAGTCGAGGACCTCGGTCACGAAACAACTTATGGTGTGATCGATTTCGATGATGGTAGTAGCGGCTGCAGGGGGTGGAAGTCGAGGTCGTTTTGGTATCCCCTGGTTACCTCTAGCGCTCATTCGCTTTGAGTCTGTCCATGGTCACTGTGCAAAGCACTGATGGTCGAAGTTATGTTTCTATAATCGTGCACGTGGAGGCATGTGTATACGCCCATATGCATTACCAATCATGCCGAGTATAAAACAAGAGTTATACATTATATCATATATGCACTATATCATGTTGGTATAGTCCAAGAGTTATTTACGAGCTGTGGTACTATTGTTTGCAGCACTAGTCGTTCGGAAGAAAAACCTTCGCGACTCAATTGTCATTGTCCGACGTCGACGGGCTCATTAGCTTGTTACGGAATGAATCTTGTGGGAGTATTGAAATTCGTACCTTCTCGCCTCGATAGAAAATGCTTCGGGAAATCGTTTTCTTATAAGCGGAAAACCATACTAGTAGTCTCATTTCAGATGCTGAAGATGCTTTTGATATCGCTGGGGAGGAGGCCGAGGAGGACCCATTGACAGATTCAGTCCAGCAAGAGGTAGTTGCAGCCGTCGAGCGAGCTCGTGTTCGTAGTTGTACTATGAGATAAGCTCGGTTAGAGGCACGGTTATCGCTGTTGCGCTCACCCGTGTATCACCCTAGTGATCTGCTATGTTCCGGACACAATGTTCGGGCGTTTATCCAGCATTTCCACTGGCAAGATCGCGATGGAAACTTCATTAATTCAGGTTCAAGAGGAATCCGCGGTACCGATCACCCCTACGATCACTGCTCAACCTTCGAAGGTATCTGATATACGGGCCTACTTGAATCGTAGCGATAAGGAAGAGCTGCCGGCGGACCCACCAGAAAAAGCACAAGGCAGTATGGGACGTCGCAGTCGGAGCAAAAGAGTGGCTATGGACACGGCCGACACTTAGCATGTTTCTTATGATTGTTTCTGTGAACTGAACGTGTTTGATAAGAGTGGTTCCTCGATGGGTTCAGGAGGTACGCCAGTAACTCTAATACGGTCCTCGAGACTGGAGCTTTGTTGCTCATGCGCTTCTTATGACACCCTCGATTCGATACTTTGGGTGAGCGTTCGAAGGTTTCGAATGCTCACCCAGGGTGATTGCCCATTTTGCAGAAAGGAATTTTTGATATGACGGTCCGTTCTATTAGGTGTGGATTCCGTATTATAGACTCGATAACTCATTCGTTAATACTCAGTGATTGGTTTTCCAATGCCAGTGAGGATGGTCATGCTACGAAGACGCAGCAGAGTACGAACGAGGGGCTAGACTTCCTGTCAAATTCCATCATTAGTTACTCTCTCTGCTGCTCATTTGCGTGGTGGGGGTAGTGACTGTGTTAGGAAGCTGGCACTTGTTGGGGAAATCTGCGTCGTTCTCGGGCGATCCACTGGGATTCAGTAGGATAGCTTCCTTGCTAGTTGCTCCCCATGGTGCCATAGCATCAGTATCAGGTGCCTGGCCGAAAGGATGGGACAGGAAGTTCATGCCGCTACGAACTCGTGGCAACGACTTTGACCCATCTAATTTACGTATAGGACATGCATGGGATATCCATAGGTGAGTCTGGACACCAGACTCTGGAGTCGCCACTGAGTATTCGCCATCCAGTTCACAGAATTGAAGTTACTTTTTGGGTCTTACCAGGTTCGGTCGGCGGTCTGCTGAAAATGGCCCGTTCATCTTAGCCGGTGTTGAAGTTCCTGATTGCTCTGATATTGGCCTCGTTGCTCATTCGGATGGAGATGTACGAAGCGATCTCAGCGTCTTGAGCATTGGTTTCATCTGCAGGTTATCTTCCACAGTGTGACGGATGCGATTCTCGGGTCCATAGGGTTGCGGGATATCGGACAGTATTATCCCGACACAGACCCGGAATGGTAAGAGATCCTTGGTAGGATATCAAGGTCGTCGGAACCAGCCTGCTTCAGGGAAGGCCAGTCATCAGACAAGTTCCTACATGATACATTGAAAAGGGCCTCAGCCTTGGGCTTTCGGGTGATAAGTATAGATGTCACGCTAGTGCTGGAGCGTCCCAAAGTGGGGAAGGTCATGCCGGCAGTGGTGGAGAACTTGCGGAAAGCGATCAACGATAATCGGGTAAACCGAAAACGAGGATTGAGAGGCACTTCATCGATCTACTCATCTTCGTACTCGATAGTATGGTCTGCACTTTGGGCCCTCGATTTTCGCTTTCCCTATTCTCTCATCTTTGGTAGGTTTCGGTGAATGTTAAGGCTCGTACGTCAGAGAAGCTCAATGCTGCTGGTGAAGGGAAGTCTGTGGAGGCTCATGCTGTGGTAAGGCATTGCTGGGAGTGGGTTGATGAGGTTGGGAGGTTCCTTAATTCAACTTGGAGAGTCTCGGTTGAATTTTGTTGCTATCTTGGTAACATCTGACTTTCAGGTGCTACTTTATAAAGACAGATAACACAATTAACAGCCTCGACAGTCGGTGCGCAATCTTCAGTCTCCGACGTGTTGTCATCGCGTTGCAGTCAATTCACCTCGTTCGGATCATCGAAGCGTAGCTCGTGGAATACCGACCGAGTAGTTGTCAATAGCGATAGTCCGTAAGGTGGACAGATCGTATGCTAAGGATGTGTGTCTTGATGCAATGAGCATCAGCAATGACTCCGATACGGTACTTGAACGATGCATTGAAGAGCTCGTTCACGCAGGGTACAGGAGGACCATGCGACCAACCGTGGCGCGGTTTCAGACCGCACTACTGGTTCAAAAATTCTGAAAGTATCCGTAATCCTGGATACTGAGTGTATTGAATAGGAAGATCCTTCGAGGTTCGAATGATACCACTGATATCACTCACCAATTGAATTCTGCAGTAAGTTACTGAAGAGTCCTCCTAGTGAGTGCATTCAATCCACATGCATTCAATGCATTGCATTGTCATTGGAAACGATAATTCACTCCGAAGAGTGATCCACTCCCCCACCCTACGAATAGCTCGCTCGGCTCCTTCTCGCCCATCGATGGTCATGACAATATTATGATCGACAGGCGGACGGATTCAAAATATCCTTGATGTTGCTCCGTGTAGCACGATTGAGAATTCGCCAATACTCATGGCCCATGATTCATGGGCATGCGACACTACTGTGCCAACTTGATGATGAGCGTGTGATAGCGGCGCTGGTGCGGTCCCTGAGTGACATTCTGCTGGAAGCTGTCATCTGGCTGACGCCAGAGACCGGATCCGGGCTCCGGGAACCCGAACCCACTAGCTGCAAACGAAAATTTGTGGTCAGCATCTCACGTTCCTTTAGACAAATTAATGACAATTGGTAATATCCTTTAATCATGCGTGCATTTCCGTATTCGGGACTATTGCTGTAGCATGCCATAGCGCCAACTTTCTTGTGTTAGCGTTCTTCTCCCACATGAGCATCTGCCATCTCAATCTTGCGCCGCAAGACTTGTGGAAGACGTAGCCGAGGGTTTTTGTAGCGTAACCTTGAGGTTTATCTCCGGTATAGGGGGTGGCATGGTTAAGGTAATGCGGCAGAGCTGTCGCACCGAGTTCGTAATACGTCTCATCACCAACTGTTCATTTCCGAATCAAAGCGCTCCACCGCTTGCTGCTACTATTATCCTTATCGATGCGCTTCCGCGGTAAGAACGGTTCACCATCGTTTGACTTTTTAAACTGCTATCCAAGCAGAGGTATGCCTCTTGATGGTGCTACTACTAGTTGTCATTCCTACTATTAGTCCTCACGCATATTACCACTAAACGATGATAAATTTGAATGAACTCAACGGGGGAGAAATTTAGATTAGAACACTAAGCTTAAAGACGAAAATATAAGTTCTTCTGAAGTTTTCAGAAGAAGACACTTCTCAGGAGTGTCCGCCTAGTTTGTGCGTCTCTATATGGCGGGGATCGCAGAAAGATCAGGGAACCCAAAGAGTCGGCTGAGGAGCTTCTACTACTGTAGTGAGGCTGTAACAGCGTCAAGGAATTGGCATTGACGCGCTCGGTCTCTAGCCACATCAAGGAGGCGCGCTCAACCTCCTATCATGACTCTGTAAAACTGCAGAAATTAGACGCAGTCAATTTGATCGCGATATATCAGCACAGTCTGTTCTGCTATCCACTGTAATAGGGTTACTACCTGCCAGACTAGAGGTGAGTTGTAGAAGGAATAAAATTGCCTTGGTAGTAAACAGACTGCCTAAAGCAGTCGCTTTGAGGGGAGCATAATTTAACTGCAGATACAGTCGCCGACGTGAGAACGGACACATTTTGAGCTAAATCTTAAAGTTTAATGTGGATGATTGATGTACACCCCTCCACATATTCTTGGCATATCCGGTTTTTCGACTCGTGCACAGCCACCACAACGAGTATCATCTTGCGGGTCAGGGAGGTATGTACTTATGCTTTACCTGATATGACCTCCAAGTTTCAGGGCCTAACTCTTCGTAGTTAGTGAGAAGTCGAAGACCGGTAAAACGTTTTCTCCACATATTCTTAGCATACACGTGTTAAAATTGCGCCTCAAAATACCAACTTTTACTCGGGGAGTATATCTATAACTCCGCTCCTGATCTAATGCTATACATCAACAGAAAGAGAATCGTTCATAATGGTATCCCTCCATGTTTCACTCTCATATTTGGAGGCATCCAGCCAAAACTGAGCAGG